TGCTTGATAGAATTTCCACAGACACTAATTTGATTAATTTATTAGTAGGGTGGTTTTAACATCCAGAGTCTTCTGTACTTTCTTCTCAGAAAAGTGAACTTACTAAACAAATTAAATTAACTTTACTACAATCTTGACAGATGCTTTATTCTTCACTGTTATTTTAGGCTTTTTATTCCTATCTTAGTAATTCAGAAATATGATGGATTTGCTAGGATCATATTGGTATCAGGATTTAGAAACAGGTACAGCTTTTGAAAATTCTGTGGTTCTTTTTTTTTTTTTAAACAGTCTTTACATAGTTAATTATGACTCTAAGGGTCAAGAGCTACAGGAAAGTGGGTAAGACCATTGTTTCCACATTAATTTTTTTTTCTGTATCTGGGGTAAGGGGAGGTAAAGGAAGAAATCCCATTCAGCCTCTCACCCATCCCAGGTCCCCAATGTGGGGCATGCTCCAACGGTCTTGCTCAAGTGGTTTTGACAGTTCAACAGTTATGAATTGCTGCCAAGCAATTCCAAGCATGATGAAGTCGCTACAGAATCCAGTGGCTGACATAGTCCAGCTTAGAGTCTCAGTTTGCTCAGTTTTTCACTGCCAACATATGGCTGGGGTAGTTGATCGATTTCTTCTGTCCTCTGCTGTGGTGCCAGGTATCTTCTGTAGGTTCTGATAGGCTGCTATATCCTCTGTGTGCACCTGGATATGCTCTCCACTGCTTTGTGTGGGCCTCTGAGTAGGCTTGACTCTGGCACTTGCACTCCACGGCTGGCCATGGAACCTGCACTTCTCTTCAGGGTTAGGGTTCTGACAGTTCGATGGTGGGGAAGGGAGCCCCAAAGAAACTTTGTCTGAGGTGGTACAAGACCAGATTCTCGTGTGTACTTGCAAGTATAGACAAGAATTCTGTGTTTCCTAACGTAGGGATTACACTATTGTTTTTAAAAAGGTTACTTTAAAAGTGTATGACTAGGGCCTGGCACAATAGCGTAATGGTTAAGGTCCTTGCCTTGAACGCGCTGGGATCCCATATGGGCAGCTCCACATCCTGTCCAGCTTCCTGCTTGTGATCTGGTAAAGCAGTAGAGGACGGCCCCAAGTCTTGGGACCCTGCACCCACCTGACCCGGAAGAAGCTCCTGGCTCCTGGCTTTGGATTGGTGCAGTTCTGGCCCTTGTGGCTGCTTTGAGAGTGAATCATCTTATGAAAGATCTTCCCTGGCCTGGGAAAGCAGTGGAAGATAACCAAAACCTTGGGCTCATCCACCCATGTGGCATACCCAGAAAAAGCTCTGTCTCTCCCCCTCTCTGTACATCTGCCTTTTCAATAAAATAATGAATAAATAAAATCTTAAAAAAAGTATATGACTATGTCAAAATTAAGAAACAATGTGAAAATTATTTGTGCATCTATGGAAAATAACCAAAATAAATTATTTCTTGGGCTCAGTGCAGTATTCTAGAAGATAAGTACATGTCTTGTATGCACTGGGATTCCATATTGGCGCCGGTTCTAATACTGTTAGCCCCGCTTCCTATCCAGCTCCCTGTTTGTGGCCTGGGAAAGCAGTTAAGGACAGCTCAAGCCTTTGGGACCCCGCACCCATGTGGGAGACCCAGAAGCGGCTCCAGGTTCCTGTCAACAGATTGGCGCAGCTTTGGCCATTGTGTCTGCTTGGGGAGTGAATCAGCAGACAGAAGACTCTGTTTCTCTGTTTCTCTGTCTCTCCTCCTCTTTGCGTACCTGACATTCCAATAAAATTTTTTTTAATAAAGAAAAACCCATTTATTCGGTATGTGTTTTGTTAATAGTGCTTAATTTTGCTTTTCTCTGAAGTAAAGAAGAAAATTTAAGTCTGTCGTTAGGTCTGGATCTTGCTTTTGGTTTATCTGACCTGCAAAAGGAGGGCAACAAATATCTTCTTAACTATGGCTTCTGAGTATAATAATGTGGACTAATTTTAAAAATATATATTATTTGGGAGGCTTAATGAATGAAAGGTTTCTTTTCTTATACCCAACTCTAGTTGCTAAGTCTGCCTTCTTGCACATTTCTTGTATTCTCTCTATATTTTCTGTGTAGTTTGTTTTGTGTATATTTGTGCTATATTTTATGTGACTCTATACTATATGTATATATATCTGAGTGTGTATTGACTTTCTGTGTTCATCTTTGTGTGCCTTTTTGCCGATGACCAGTGTTTTTCTCTGTGTCTCCATTTTCTCTTGGTCTCTGTCTATGCTGAACCAATGTCCTGCTTTTTGTGCCTTTGTGTTAACTTGCCTCTTTTTCTCAGTGGCTATGGTATGTGTGTGTGTGTGTTTTCTCCATTACTATGTTCATTTTGAAAAATCTCTCCATTTACCTGACTTTGCTCTTTTCTCTCTGAGTGTGCTTCTCTGTCGTTTCATTTTATTTGTGTCTTTCTTGACTTCTATTAGGTTTCGGACCTCTGTGTGTTCCTTCTTTCTTGGTGACATAATATTGCAGTTTTGCTGTGCTATTGTATTTGAAATTTCCTGCTTTACAGATAACAAAAATCTCATGTTATACACTATAGATGCATTTTCTACTTGTAATAAGAAAGCAATTCGGTTGTATATATGAAACACATGAAATTTATTCCCTTTATATAAATAAAAAAGAAAAAAGAAGAAATCAATTAGCCCTTTAAAATTTGAATATAGGGGCAGATGTGTTGACTTATCACACTAATGTTCCACCTTTTATGCCAGCATCTCATCTGGGCACCGGTTCTAGTTCTGACTACTCTGTTTCCAATCCAGCTCCCTGCTAATGGCCTGGGAAAGCAGTGGAAGATAACCAAAACCTTGGGCTCATCCACCCATGTGGCGTACCCAGAAAAAGCTCCTGGCTCCCAGCTTTGGCTTGAGATCATATGGGAAGTGAACCAATAGATGGAAAATTGCCTTTCTCCTTTCTCTTTATGTAACTCTGACTTTCTAGTAAAATAAATAGATCTTAGGTGTTTATTTTTTTAGAAATATCTATTTATTTTTATTGGAAATCTAGAGAAAGAAAGACAGAGAAGGATCTTCCATCACTGGTTCACTCCCCAAGTGGCTACAACCTCTGGAGCTGAGCCAATCTGAAGCCAGGAGCCAGGAGCTTTTTTAGGGTCTTCCATGTGGGTGCAGGTCCCCAAGACTCTGGGCCATCCTCTATTGTTTCCTAGGCTACAAGCAAGGAGCTGAATAGGAAGTAGAGCAGTTGGAACATGAATTGGTGTCTTTATGGGATCTTGGCACTTGAAGGTGGAGGATTAGCCAATTATGCCACCACGTTGGGCCCTAAAATAAGTTAATCTTTAAAATATTTGACAAGCTTATTTTTTTGTTTCATTAGAAAAATTGATAAATATTATGAAACACAATTCATAGAAAAATGCAAATTTTCCTTACTATAAATTAAAGGAATATCAATTAAAAGAATAAGATTATATTTTTTACTATCAGATTGCTAAAGATATCCATTTTGTGGTAGTAGAATGTAATAGCTTTAAATCAGGATTTCAGGAAGTACACATGTATCAACATCTTAAATATGTCAGGATCTTCAAAATGTTCAAAAACAATGTGCATTTTAAAAATTAGGCTTGGACTTAGGGTTTTTTTTATTAAAGTTTTGAAATTCTATGTTCCATAAACATTTTTAAGTATACTCATTGGTAACCTTGACTTAATAGTTCTGTTGTAGGGATTTGCTGCAAAGAAATTACCAGATAATGATGCAAATATTTTATAATTGCCTTTAGAGGTAAAAAAATTAAAAGCCCTTCAGTAAATAGTTGATTAAATGAATTATGATAAGCCAAATGTAATAGGATATAATAAGTTACAGAAAAATTCTATGATATATTGACAACTGGCACAAAGTCAGGTTACAAAAATATGCAGAAACATGGAGCTGATGGTAAGGATGGGTAAGGGTCACACACATCACAAAATATGTCCCACCTTTATTTCTCATCCAGCTTCCACTGATGCACATCCTTGGAGCAGTAGATTGTGACTGAAGATAGTTAGGTACCTGAGCCCATATGGGAAAGCAGGATGGAATTCCTGACTCCTGGTTCTGTCTTAGTTCAACATTGGCAGTTGTGGTATTTGGGGACTGCACTAACTATGCTAGTCCCTCCTTCTCTTTTTGTCTCTTTTTGGTATGCAAACTCTATATAATATATGCCATTTATTCATTAAAACTTATATATCTATATTTATATAGAATTCTTGGGCCCGGCGTGGTGGTGTAGTGGTTAAGGTCCTCGCCTTGCACGCCCGGGATCCCATATGGGTGCCGGTTCTATCCCAGCAGCCCTGCTTCTCTTCCAGCTCCCTGCCTGTGGCCCAGGAAAGCAGTCAAGGACGGCCCAAAGCTTTGGGACCCTGCACCCACGTGGGAGACCTGGAAGAGGCTCCTGGCTTCAGATCGGCATAGTATCGGCTGTTGCACTCACTTGGGGAGTGAATCATTGGATGGAAGATCTTCCTCTCTGTCTCTCCTCCCTGTATATCCGCCTTTCCAATAAAAAAATAATAATAATAAAAATAAATTAAAAAAAAAGAATTCTTATTCATTAAGTACTGTAGTTACATTATGTTATATACAATGCAAGAAATAAAAGAACATCTATCTTCAATATGTTCTGGATACCAAGAAAGTACTGGAAAAATAATATTGCATCAAGCTCAAGAGAGATTTTTGGTTGTAGATTTTTAAAAATATTTTTAAATTTTTATTGGAAAGTCAGATATGCAGAGAGGAGGAGAGACAGAGAGGTCAGATGATTCACTCTTCAAGTGGCCACAATGGTTGGTGCTGCGCTGATCTGAATCCAGGAGCCAGGAACCCTCCTCCAGAACTCCTCCACAGGTGCATGGTCCCAAGGCTTTGGGCTATCCTCTACTGCTTTCCCAGGCCACACGCAGGGAGCTAGATGTGAAGCAGGGCTGCTGGAATTAGAACTAGTGCCCATGTGGCATTCCTGCGCGTTCAAGGTGAGGACTTTAGATGCTGGACCACTGCACTGGGTCTGGTTGTCAAATTTTAACACAGTTGAATATTTTTATATTTTAAAATATTAAATTGATCATTGTTCCTGTGTTTTCTCTCTCTGCTCCCCCATTTGAATCCATGCTGTGTGAAGAATGATTCCACATCTTGGCTAAAGCATTTTTTTTACGTGTTCCAGAAATACTATACCTTGGTATGTGCTGTCTTAATGACTTGTCAAGAAAATGTTTGCTTAAACCTTTGGAAAAATAGAAAAAAAATTAAGCAATCTACTTGTCAAAATGTCATTGCAATTTGAAGCTCAGGGAATCTGAGCAAATATAATGTGAAACAATAAAGGTGAATGCTTTGCTATCATTGGAAATTGGCACTAATGTCATTGAAAAGCTAAGCTTGAAAATTTAATGTTTAGTAATATGATTCTATAATTTTATTTTGCGTAAGACTGTTCTGAAGAACGATTGTGTTAGGCAGAGTCTTAGACTTTACCCCAGAAACTCTGATATGATGGTCTGGAGTGGATATAAAATCTGCATTTTTAATAAGCTTTCAAAATGATTCTAATGCAAGAGATTCACGGCACATTTTGAGAAATAGTATTAATGAGTAAATTGCAAAAGATAACCTACTTTAAGAATTTGACAGACTTTTCTTGAATCATATCTACTAGATGTATTCCTAGGAGGAATCTGTAAAATGCAGATTTTATTTTCATTATACATTCCATTTCAAGTCCATTCTAGACCACAATACTAACCCATAATTTTAATGTGCTTACAATGTTTACTCCCATAAAATAAAAATTAGCATACCTTTTACTCAAATGATGACATTAATATTTATACATTTCTTCTCATTCTTCTTATTACAATGGACAATATGTACTCCCAAGAACACCATCAGAAAAGTGTGACAAATATGAAAAAAACAGATACCTACAAATTCAGAATTCTGATAAGTCAAAACAGCTATGTAATATAAATAAAAGATGACTTTATAGCACTTGTCATGATTAAAATATCACAACTTTGTTCCTAAAAGAGTAAAATAAAGTACACTGCCAGCCACTGGAGTTTAAGTTTGCTTCACAAGTAATTCTAAAGGTCCTGGAAAGAAGGAGCACAGGATGCAAAGCAAGCTTAACACATCATCATTGATCTGTGAACAACCAAAACATACTTTAAGTGTACAGCTTAACTACTTGCTATTTAACATAAAACTATAGTACTGTGGGTAGGAATTCCAACAGCCTTCCACCATGTAACTGATAGGTGAAAATGACTGCCTTATTCTGACTATCAGAGCTTTGTGGCTGGAAAATCATTTAGTTCAGTATTTCCAAAATTTTAATGTGCATGCAAATCACTTGGGAAGATTGTTAAAATGAAAATTATGATTGGTGGCCCCAAGTGCATAATTGCTGAGATTCTGCATTCCATACAAGCTGCTGTCCCAAAAACCACACTTTGAGGACCAAGGATTTATTACAACTCCTTTTCTGAGCAGATGAGAAAGAGATAGTATTTTACTTGGCATTATGGGTCATGACTGTGTTAATAGTGGACATAAAGTCGCTGGGGCTGCCACTAATTAGGTCTTTTCCAATGAGGTCTTGGAACTGACTTTCCTACATACAGATTTTCAACTTTTGCTTCCATTCTGTGAGAAACTTAAAAATTCCTTTTAATAAATTTCCACTTTTCTTCTGAACTTCCTAGAGATAGCTTTTATTGCTAGCCAAAATTGTGTAACTTATAGAAGCAATGTGTTGGGACTTACATTAAGAAGAAATATGCCATGTTTGCATCACAAAGAAACATTGTCTCCTGCCCCTCCCCCAACCCTGCCCAACAAAATGATAGTGATAAGTACATTTACTTAATGTTGTCACAATTCCATTGGTGACTAAAGTATCTGTCCAGCCTGACTTCCCTCAACTTCCAATTTCTTATTTGACATCTCCATTTTAGTGAATTATAGGAATAAAAAATTTGACATGTCCAAAATCCAAAATTGAACCTGTTATACCAGATGGTTTCATAACAAATGCTTGTTTTAATGCAATTACTCAAGCAATAAACCTAGCAATGACCCTTAATTTCTTTTTTTCTCTTGCTTCAAATTTGGTAGTAAGTTACATCAGCTCTGGCTAAAAATCTAATCATGTCAATCATATTCCATTTCTACTGCCTCTTCCCTGTTAAAAACATCATCATCTGCATTTTTAGAGAACTGCAAAGCTTCCTTATTCTACTTACTGCTTCCATTCTAGCTTTTTCACATGGTAGCCTGAGTGGTTCTTTCCAAAGTGAACTAGGTCACATTACTTTGATGATCAGATCAGATGAGTAGGTTCCCCATTCTACAGGGGAGAAAATCTAAAATCTGCCATAAATGTAGGGATTATATCATCCAACCCTTACCTGAGCTTCTCTGTTTTCATCTTACTTCTTTCTCTTCCTGACATACATTGCCCCGTGTATGCTGGTCTCCTTGACATTTCTTTAATCAGAATGAAAGTTCCATGAGGCATGGATTTTTACCTGTTATACTCACTGCCATGTTCATGGCACCTAGAATAATGCCTGCCACAAAGTTGTGGCATTGTTAGTTCTTAAATAAATGCATTAAGAAATTTAGAATTAATCATGCACAGTGAACATGACATGCCCTAACAAGGGAAAGCTAATGGCAAGTGGCAGTTGGTAGCAAAAGGCAAGATGGTAGTTATTACTACCAACTACCTATGTTATTCCTACCCCTAGTCACCCATTCATGAAATTAACTATAATTTTGAAGTTCAGGGTGTTTTCCAATGAGTTTCAGTCAAGAAAGTGGTAAGACATGTTGACTTTAATTTGAGATTTTCTCAAAAATTTTTAACAAGAGGAATACAACCAGATACAAGTTCCTTCCAGTGATTCTAGTGCCAAGTGATGACAAGACACCAATGCAAACAGCCAAGTAGATGATGTTTTATTGTTACTGCAGATCATTTTTCTGGATGGTTTGTGTATTTTAGCAAGGAAATACAATGGACACCTTGTATTTGGTTAGTATCAACTAACCAAATGAATTGCTTAACAATCATTTTAAGGTTGTTCCTAGGAGATAGACCAAAAAAAAAAAATCATAAAATGTTTATTTGAGAGGAGTGGTGGAGAAATATTTTGATTCAAAAAATATGTAAATATGCTCAACAGACAAAGGCATGTAAAATGAACACATATTTAAGTTTTTAACATCGTTCCATACCTTTATCATCTGGCAAGCTTAGATTTTATGAAGTGATGGTCATGAGTATTAATGCTCCAATTTCATGCAAGCATCTCCCTGCTTTTTTTTCTTTTACTTTTTTTCTTCTCAGTGATATATGTGTATCTATATATACAAGTAGATATCTATATAGTTAGATATAGATATCTATTGATAGATATAGATTCATCTATCTAGACAAATAATTATTATTTAGGTTTTTAAAATTGTTTCCTGGGCTTATTCAAGGCACAAAATCACCTATCTTTCTCCTAAAAGTTCCATGGTGTAGTCCATTGAACCAGTGGAAACCAAGTTGCTAAGATTTACAGTTGGATTGAGCTTAGAAATAATTGATGCTTTCCAGTTTGAATTTTAGTGTTCTAAAGCAAAGCCTTTGTCACCTGCTTCTGCAGTGCTGGGGCAATCTGCATATAAACTCTGTTCAAATGCCACAGTTCCTACTTCCCTCTTCATATACAGTTTAGTCTCCAATAAGGACAATACTGCGGCTTGCCCTGTGTGCTCTTTACCTGGTACTCTTATCCTTTTCCTTTTTCTATTAATCTGCTTTTCCTGGATGATGGACCTTATTTTCAAGTTCTCTTCAAGATGGACTAATCTAACTACAACTAAACTACTCATATAAATCCAGTAACTAGTAAAGCTACTATCCAGAAACTCTTTGATGCTCTCTCTTCTTAAGTAGAATCCCATGAGTATTGGATTATGCCTAAAATTGGCTCAAATGTACACTCTTATATGAAGACCATCTCCATTGACAAGATGATTCTCATAACCACAGTTCTGCTGGTATATATAAATCTTTCATTTTGTTTGTTTCTACCATTGACAAGGTAGTATGCCTGAGCCTAAAGTCCATATATGTTAGGGCATGTACCTGAAGTGCCAGTAGATTATAATGATTAACACGGTTTTCAGTGTTACTTTTTTCATTAAGTTGTATACAATTTTGTGAAATTTTGTCAAGCAATTCTACCTTCTGGGTCAGGCATCCTAAAAGACCATGATTTTCCATTGTAATTGGCTTATTACAAGTGCGTTTGTCATAATAGAGATAGCATTTCGACTTGCAAATATTCAGAATAATTATAATTTATGGAAGGACTAGGAATCCCATGGTTTGAAAGAACCTATTTTGCTTTTTTCTTAGAGTTACAGACTCATACATTCATAAAGGCATGATTACTGCTAATATCTAATTTAAAATTAATTAAGAGATTTGAATCTAATACATTCTTTTTCTAGGCTTGTGACTTTTCTCACTTAGAGATGATGGGAGTGGAATCCTGTTATTGTGAGTTCAGCCTCACTAATTTACTACCAACACTAAAAATGAAATGATAAAGAAAGGGCAAGGTTGGACATTTGTTGTATAAACACACTGATAATTAAGTTCCTACATAGATAATTCCAGGGTGCCTATGAGACATGAATGCATTAGGACAAGAGCAGAGGTTAAACTTAATAGCTTGAATGAAATTAATTGGTAGATAAGACAATGTAGTATTTTTCTGTGGAGTTGCTTGGTCAAAGGGCATGTGCTTTTCTAATTTTGATAGAACTGTTAAAATGTTCTCTAAAGAGGAAAATGATGCATTAGTTCTAAATTTCAAGAAATCACTGTCACCACAAAGCATTATTACTAAGGAAAGAAAATGTAGTCTGAAATGAAGACAGTGGAAAAAGAGTAAAAATGAACTTGATTTTGGAAGAATTATCTCCAGAATAGTGCCCAAGGATCTGATCATATAACAATGACCAACATTTTGTTACAATACAAAAAAGAGTATAAATGTATAATCTGGTTACTGATAAAAGTAGCTATCTCATATTTATATGGGTTAGATACATTTTATGTGCTTTACTAAGCGGATACACTGTAATGTGGTTAATGTTTTCTCCCTTCAGTACCAAAAAGTGGAATACAGAAAGAATAGAACCTCATAAATGTTACATGACCATTATTACTAAAAATATTTTGAGAAACTTATCCATTCATACCTGCATATGAAATAGTTATTTATTCAACACACAGAATATTTAATGCTTTAACTATATGAAGCACTTAATATAAGAAAATAAATAATCATAATTCCTCACAACTAATAGGTTATAATGTAGTTGCCTGTTTAAACACATTATAGACTATTGATAATTAAAACTGTAAATTTGTCCATGTGATCAGAACAGGGTTCATTAAAAAAAGTCATGTGGTTCTCATAACTTTCTTTTGTAGGAAGAAATGACCTTAAAAAGCTTCTTTTGGAAAGGTCTGAAAGATGTGGAAATTAACAAGACAAAAGGAAGAAGGAGATCGGGTGGAGATATCAGCTCAGATGAGAGGGCTGAGGTAGAGGACAGGTATTTGATTTTCAGAAGAGTACGTGTTGACGTGTCTATATGCAGAGAGGTTAATAGCAATTATAAATATCATAGGAGGGATAGGGTGGGAACCTAAGTTTGCAGAACATTTTCACTATTGTAGAAAGTTTGTATTAAGCACAACTGAAAGCCAATAAAAGGATACTTGCAGATGTAGAATCAAACATTTTCTTTTAATCATATATAGTCCCCAAACCAAAAGGCAGGCAACTTAGTGTAGAATGGATGGGTGTACTGAATTGTGAACTAAAGTACTATGTAGATCCATGCTCTGTGGGAGATTTGTTCTGTCTTTTCTTAGTTTTCTCCTAAGGAATCCATTATTTCTGGCATTAGGCCTACATAGTAAGTATTTTCAAATATATTTATTTGTAGTTTATAGCTAAATAAATTCCCCTGAACGCTTTGCACAAGGTTTAGCAAAAATCTCAGCCATAAAATCTGGATTGATGATTGAGTGATCCAAATAGTAATGGTGAATTTGTTTCAGATATGTTGTGTTTGAAACCGTTACAGCACACAGATAATGAATTTCTCTGGATTGTTATGGGGAAGACACAGGCTCAAGATTTAAAAATAAAGACTGTTGTTTATAAGGCTGTCATGGCATTAAGGAAGAAGTGGAGTATCTATAGACAAAAGCTGGGGGACTATCACACTAGAGTTCCAGAACACATCAAAATGGCATGCTTCTTTTAAGTGAAACTATTACTAAGACTTCTCTTGGAATTATTTTGTAATGAGAAATGAAAAGTTTTTGTGAAGCACGTTACGTGGGAATAAGAACTTGAGTGATGCCTCAGAGAGGAAGGGAAAAAATGCATTGTTATAAACTAGCAAGCTTCAACAGTTTTTTTGAAAAGGATACTGATAACATACTTTCAAAGGTCATCATGTGGGGTGATAAATATTTTGCTCCAAAAAAAAAGATATAGTAGTTTCATAGGAATGTAAAAATACTTTAATATAGCTTTAGGTTTAACAGCTATACCTTTTCTTTAATAGCTTTAGGTTTTTAGAACACATGACCCAAAGTGGATTTTTTTTGTGGTTGTTGGTTTGAAGATTTATTTATTTTGAAAGTAAGAGTTAGAAAGAGAGAGAGAGAGAGAGAGAGAGAGAGAGAAAGGAAAGGGAGAGTGGAAAGGAGGAAGAGAGAACGAGATCATCTTTTATCCATTTTCATCTTCCATCTTCCACTTTAACCATCTTTATCACTCTCTATATGGCCACAATAGTCAGTGCTAGGTTAGGCCAAAGCCAGGATCCAGGAGCCAGGAGCTTCATCTAGGCAAGGGCCCATACACTTGGTGGACTATTTTTCCAGACCATTAACAGGGAGCTGAATGAAAAGTGCAGAAGTTGCATATAGGATATCAGCATCACAGACAGAAGCTTTACCAGCTAAGTCACAAACCTGGCTTTGACAAGGAAATCTGATGACCATGGAAAGATTGATTTCTTCATCAATAAACATTCTGGATATTTGAGTCTGGATTACAACAAGAAAAATTAGGAATGAGGATGCAGATTGGAGAATCAGTATTGTAGATGTGATGAATAAAAACATGTTTAACAATTGAGAAATTAATCCAGGAAAAAGAGTGATGATCAAGGGTTTTCATTTCTGGCAACCATGAGAAACACAGATCTACTAAAGTTATTCTTGAGGAATGGATATCAAATTTTAAATGTTCTACAGAGAATCATTATGTACAATCAAGATTAAAAATATCACTACAATTAGAAAAGAACTAGCACTTTAATTGATTCCACACAGAAGCTGCAGTGATGTAGAATGTGATGGGCAGCAAACTAGCTTCCAACATCTTTACCTCATGGGATTACACTATGCATACGTCATATTAGCTGTAAAAGGGAGCTTTTTAACAAAAAAAAAATCTGTATTAGAGTTTATTAACACAGCTATTCTTAAACATAGAGCTTGTGAAATTTATCCAAGTAGGCCTAATCCAATCAGATGTACACTGAAGAGTAAAAGTCCTTCTCTATCTGGTAATGAAGGAAAGGATTTCAGGCTTTCAAAGACCAAGCAGGATTAAAAATACCCACACTGTCTGAAAATTTATAAGATCATGTGCCAAGGAAACAGGAAACAAGTCCCTGCAATCACAAGGAACTGCATTCTCTCAACTGGAATGAGATTAAAGCAGAATGTTCTCCAGAGACTTAGATAAGAGCCCTGAAATGCCTGTGCCTTTGTGAATGAGAGAGGGTCCAGATTTCTGACCTATCCTCTGTGAGCTAACAAATGAGTGTTTTGAACTCATAAATTTGTGTTGAGTTGTTACAAAAGAAAACTGTTATACAGAAGGAGAACTGGAAAAGCCAAGATAGCAAGAAAAGGTGTTTGTTGGTTTGTCCATTAAATTGTCCTTACATTTTGAAAAAACACCTCCTGCCTGTTAAGATGCAATTATGACCAGTGCTAATTTTTGGCTTTTATAGCGTGATTGATACAGTATTTTATACCAGTAGAGTTAATTTGTTGTCATCTCTTTTGTCTAATATTTTCTATTTTCAAAACACTTAATTGATCCATTTGAATTTCTGACATCTTTCCAAACAAAACTCCCTCTGTTGTAGCATTGTCAGTTGTACTAAGCGGAATCTGAGGGATATTTTGTTGTATAGCTAGGATCTAGTGGTGGAAGTGGGGACTGAATTTGGTATTAGAGGGCAAGAGCACATGGATAAGCTTATGCACACATTTATTAGAATGGGAAGCAAAGAAAGATGATGTAAACAGAAACAACTTTGTAGAAGAAAACGTATGTGAAGGCCTACATGTAGCAGGAGTCAGGGACTCTTCCACATTTGTTATGCAGTGACAACTACTGGGTGTGTTCTAGGGCCTTGGAGGTGTAGCCAGGAGGATAGTAGTGCCTAAAAGTGACTTGTAAAGGGGTTAGCGTCTTGGAGAGTAGCTAGGATGCCAGTGGTGGGATGAATGCATCTGCAGTGCTGGTAACACAGGCTAAGGCTGAGGGGAGGCAGCATAAACAGCAAAGGAAGGAACTGTGATGCTGCTGGCATAGGCAATCAGTTGCTGGGCTCAATTCCAGATACTGTCAATTTAATGGTGTTGTTCAGGAGTGACTTCCAAGACTCTCTGGGAGGGGACTGGAAAAGGCTCTTCCACCGATGAAGATAATGTAATGCAGAAAGCAGCTTTTGGTTGCTGCCATGACCCACATACTTCATAAAAAATGGACCCTGGGATGCACCTGTCACGTGTTAATGCTTTTTTCCCCTAGTACTATCTCCCAACTGTCCATTGCTTGATTGTTAAATCAGGCTCTCATTCTTTATAGATTTTTATTAAGTAGGGTTTCACTTGTTTTGGTTGCTTAAGACAAAGAATTTCTCAGTTCTTGACCGCAGAAAATGACTACTTCTTTTCATCTCTTTTTTGTGTACCAAGATAACATGTGACATTTCTACCTCATTTGGAATAAGTTTTCTAATCATTTTATTTATTATTCTGCCGTTGTTCCCCTCAGAACTGATAATGGCTTTAGTGACACAAAGTAAAATGTATAAGCCTGTGTAACTTGGTTTGTAGAAAATAAGCACCTCAGAAATTACTCTTTCCTTACCTTCTTTGTTGGGTACCTTACCTGGTACCTTGGCTTGTTCTCTCACAACTTGTTTACATTCAAATCTCCTGGTCTCACTTCACTCTTTGTTTCTCCAGCTACTAAATTCATTCCTTCATTATGTGACTATTAAAATAGGTTTCCTACCTTAACTCAAACCACACATACAATACGTTCTCTACACCATAGTAAGATTTGCTATTTTTAAACACAAAAGTAAAATTGGCTTTTTTTTTCATCAATGGCTTAATAATTGTTGGATTATGCCCAAATTCTACAGATAAGGAACCAAACCTTTGGAGAACTTTATCTACTTATCCTGCCTCTATTTGGATCTTTTTAAAAAATACTTTTTAAAAATTATTTATTTTTTATTTGAAAGGTAAAGTTACAGAGAGAGAGAGAGAGGAGGAGGTACAGAGAAGTCTTCCATCTTCTGGTTCACTTCCAAAGTGACTGTAATGGCCAGAGCTGGGCTTTTCTGAAGCTGAGAGCCAGAAATATCTTCTGGGTCTCCCTTGTAGATACAGGGACCTAAACATTGGAGCCACCTGTGTCCCCCTGCTTTTCTAAGTCACTAGCAAGGAGCTGGATCAGAATGTGGAACTGTTGGGACATAAATTACTGTTCATATTCCCATATGAGATACTGGTGCAGGCTTAGCGTGCTATACCATGGTGCATGCCGTCAAGTTTTCTTTTCTTTTCTTTCTTTCTTTCTTTCTTTTTTTTTTTTTTTTTTTTACAAAATACTTGAAAGAGTTACAGAGAGAGGGAGAGAGATCTTTCATCTGCTGGTTCACTCCACAAAGAGCTGTAACAGTAGAGCTGTGCCATGCTGAAGCCAAGAGCCATGAGCTTCCTCTGAATATCCCACATGTGTAGGAGCCCAAGTACTTGGGTCATAAGCCGCTGCTTTCTCAGGTATGTTAGCAGGGAGCTATCTAATGTACTATGTCATAATGCTGGCCCTATCCCTGGCTTTTCTAAATAAATCCTGTACTAAAGTAACACTAAACTACGTTGTTGGCTTCTGCACTTTTGCAAAAGCTATTTCCTTTATTCTTTCTCCTCATTCCTGCTGTTTCATACCATGGCTATTCTTCAAAGCATGATAACTGTTCCTCTAGATAACCCTTCATCACATGGACAGCTACAATATAATATCCTTTCAAGTAGAGAATGAACTTCTGGAGGACTAAAGTTAGATTTAGTTATCTTTGTTTATTAAATGAACAGCTAAATCTCTGGCTAGATTAATGAAGATCTGGCATATGTCTCATCCTGTTTATGTTTCCTCCTTGCTCTAATCCTCATTATTATTATTTTAAAGCTAGAAAAAGTTTATTCAACTATTTCACCTCATACTCAGTTGATTCAGAAAATTCCTGTTTTGGATTATCAGCGAGATTCATTACATACTAAAAATAGCACCATACATATGCAGAAATAAATAAATTTTTCCAATAAGATTTAATCTTTTCTTAAGAAGATTTCTCACATATTCACAGTAGATAATATCACAGAACACTCATATTTGGCTTAAATGTCTCTGAATTGTAGCATTACAGGATGAAAGTTCATCGTGTCTAATAATTCAATTGAGTTTTGCCCAAATATCTTCTAGAATTTGGTCGTTACAAATAGTGTGCTCTATTGCCATCTTGCTCTATAAAGCGAATGTAAATTTAGGGTCTTCAAGGTATCTTGCAATTTTGGGGACAAAAGCAAAATCTCTCAGTTCACTGACTGCTGGGAAGTGAGACACTCCAG